CCGCGCAACCTGCTCGCCGCCTGGACTGACCAGAACAGCGGCGTCGACTGACTGCTGACACGACACAGTGTGCTCTCTACTGATAACAGTATTGATATAATACGCGGTTCACACTTATCCAGTTTAGCTTGACAGTTAGACTCAAAAACTAGACTGGCGGCGACTGGAATAATGTGAATATTAACTGGCAATAGTGAGTCCACATAATCTATGACTGACCTGTGTCACTGTCCAACTGTACTGGCGTAGTGTGAACCGAGCATTAAGTTTAAGGCATTTGTTATTACATCTTTTACTGCCCGCAGTAATCAAAACAGTATCATCTGACCTCTTTTCATTAAATAATATTATCTACTCTTTTCTATAAAAATCAACTTAGAAGAAAGCTTTTGTAGAATTATTCATTAAGTATTTATGAAAACACGTGTATGAACATTATTTTCTCTGTACATATTTTTTTTCTTGTATAGTTTTTCACTTAAGTATCTTCGAGTATTGCATGACAATTTATTATTTAAATTTAATGTTATTCTTTGTAATGCTCAAATTATTAACAGAAGAACTCAAAAAGATACTGATTTTACGTGTAAAATAAATTATTGTAGAGTCTTAGACATGTACGAAGAACTGCCGCACTCAGTCGTTAATTTGTCACTAAAGGAGAAACTTATTATCCATTTCTTGTGATAATTGTACATTTAGGGCATCACTTAACGACTATGAGTGCGGAAGTTAATTGACCTTATATTAATCATGTATACTCACATATAATTAATAACTTGGTGCTTAAATAGTAAAAGACAAAATAGTAATTCGTGTTTTTTGTGTGGAATAGAAAATAGCTGTAGTTAAAATACTTGATTTGCATACTTTTGTGTACGATCGGGGAATTTGTCGGTGTTCTACATTAATAAACGTTTGAATGTCTTGTACGCATTAATATGAGGACCAATAACCAATAAGATGCAGATTATAAATGTGTTTGTAAGGAAAATGGTATACTGCTAGTTGTTTTTTTTTTGTCATCCAGTCGTTTGTAATTTTGCTACCTTTGTAAGAAGCGGAGTTCCTCTCGTTGCAAGAACAAGGTATTTCTGTAAGAACATCGCAGAATTCCGCGACTGTACATTTTAAGTATTAAATTCGCTTTCCACCAAGGATCGAATATCGAGCACTCGTCATAAGCTAATTAGCTTTTTTTTACTTAATAAAGATTTTTGTAAACTACTCTAAGTTATTTAATAAACTAACCTTTTTTGGAACTGATTTTTATTTTGACCATATCCCCAAGGTTTATATGAAAATTAAAAATTGGCCTAATGTAAAGCCAAAAACATTAAAAACTGCGTGAGACATATCACTGGCGCTGTCTGATGTCTGATTATTTTAATCATAAACAGCGCCATCTATTATTGAATAGAGTAGTAGAGGACATTTTTTTTAATTAATTAAGCTTTCGGACGAGAGATGGCGCGACATGTACATAGGGATGTTTCTAATTTATTAACAACAAAACTTTGTTAGCGCGGATTATTTTTTTTTTAAATTCATCTGTGATGACTTTATTTTTTTTCGCGTGCATCTTCTACCAGTTACCTTCCAAAGTTCCGTCCAAGTTGGTCCGCTCATTTTAGAGATGCAACTTTTTTTCGCTGTCGGAAATGTAGAGAACACAAACTTGTTGAATTTTTTATTTTATTTCCTTTAAATAGCGCGCTCACACACACTGGTGCATTTTTTGCAGTTGATCTTTTCTGCATGATTTTTATCTTTACGTTGATTTTATTTTCAAGTCATTTCTTTCTCGTAATTAAAAATTATCCCATATAATCATGTATGTTGTTAAAACTCTGTGATTTGTTGTCAATGTAAACGTTGATTATTACAATTATAAAAAACTTGTATTGAAACACTTTTCGTACTGGATTACGACAAAAAAATATTATTGATAACTCAAACAGAACAGAACTTAAACTATTCAACACCAGAGGGCGCTCATTAGTATTTTGAAGATTCTAATATTATGTAAATTATGATTGAACAGTGCTGGTTTGAGAAACGTCTCGGTTTGTCGACATTGAGATAGTACCGTACAGAGAAACCGATAAAAAATGTTCCCTATGTCTACAGTTTCAATAGTACAGTTAAAAAGTCTGCTTTGCATAATGAACCAATAGGGTTATAATAAAACAACTACTAGATTATAACATATAATTAGTAACCCCACTTGTATATAAAATAACAATATTTTTAATAATAATAGACAATACTTAATATCTATCTCTGTATGGCACTTTATTTGAGCCTTAACACAAAAGTAAACTCACAGCACTAACAACGTTACATAATAGAATATTGCACATTTAAAATCATTTTTATATACAAGCATAAAATCTATGACATTCAATACCGAACCGATTTTATAATTCTTTCACCAACAAATGATTACAAAATCAAAGTAACATAGGTATATTTTTTACTTGATTTTTAACGCGGAAGAAGTCACGGATAAAAGTATGTTTAAATAAGAGAGCTTACAAATACTTGTAATACAATTAAATTATCAAAACTGGAATTTTTTTACATACAATTTGTGTAGCATTTTTACATTGACGGCCTCTCCCACTACTGGCTGATAGGGGCTCAATAGCTTAAAAATGACGTCACTGTCAGATAAGGTAACAAAATCCGATATTTTCATCATATATTTTACACATTGGAGTGTTAATAATTTACAATTTGGTGGGCCAGGCCCTTAGTATGTTAAAATGTTTTAGTAAATACATAAAATAGTTATGTATTATCTATTATATATTATATAAACTTTCTAAAGCGTAAACACACACTTCTTTGTTGCCTAAGATGTCAGCAATTACAGCATATTTTTGAATAATTCTTTCTTTAATAAAAAGCCTTATACTTGTCATGCTTTAGGCTACATATTTTACGCCATTAAACTTAGGAGGTAATTATTTTAGATAAAAAATCTAATGTGGGAAAGAGACTATAAGTTGCTGCCAACATCAAGGAAGCAAGGTTGCCATGGTTTGACTTTATGTCATGTCATTTTGACATTTGCAATTGATAATTTAACACATGTAAACAAAAAAAAATCATAACATCATGCGGATGAAGCCGCACGGGAACAGTTAGTTACTATATATCTATACCATGCTCATATTAGTATATCGTCTTTAAATTCGGATTCTCCTAAAAAAACACGTTCACATTAAACATAAACTGTAAATATGAATTAAACTTTTAGTATAAAAATCCACAACGTAAATAAAAATATTAATTAAATATTAAGCTACCCTTGTGTGAAATACAGTAAAAAACGCACCATTTCTACTTGCAATACAATCTCACTGATCTGTACAAATGGATGGACGATTATTCGAAAATAACAACTAACTTCTTTTCGACTTAACGCTGAACTGCAAATGGGCGTAAATTCAATTACAACACATAGTTTATAGCCTATCCATTTAAAGAGATAAGTGTACATAGACAAGAGTATATAAAATTTGAGCAATATTAATAACAAAATTATACAATTCGTCTTATTACTCTAATAAAAATATTGTCAAAAGATTAATAAAATGTTTAGAGCGGGCGTACACTTTCAACTAAACTATCGCACTACTGTTATGTATATTCGCAATCAACTGTTTAGTTGCACAGTGTAACATCTATATAAGCCCAGGTGACCTGACAGTTGTGCGATAGTTTAGGAGTGCGCGTTGTGGTTTTTAATTTATTTGTCTGCGTACGGATTCGCGGCGTCAAGTTCTTTAAATACGTATACAATCTTCATGATGGCGAGATGCAGCTGCTCATCCTGGACGTCGCGGTGCAATGTGAACCTGATCGTCTTCGCATCAAAGCACACCGCTTTCACTATCACGCCCTCATCGTTCGAGGTCTTACAGTCACCCTGATAATTAAATTGCAACTAGCGTCACTTATATTGTGTTTACAATGAGAAAAAGCACTACATTTATTGCTTGATTCAAAACATGGGAAGTATTGACTTCACTTGAGATATTTTTCACTTTCGTGTTATTTAATGTATGTATGCACTAAACTTGACAAACATAGTACCTTTCAAAGAAGTTATCAGTAAAAATGTTTTTTATTATGTAAAGTCTATTCTTAAATATCTATTATCTACGTAATTATCTTACTAATATTATAAATGTGTAAGTTTGGATGGATGCAAGGGCGGATCCAGCTTTTGCGCCGGGGGGGGGGGTCACATAGTCGAGGTCAAGTCAAGAGCTTGACAAAATAAGTAAATATATTTTGTCAAGCTCTTGACGAACCAGCTCAGGGGGGGGGGTAATGACCCCATGACCTTCTTCCCTGGATCCGCCCTTGGATGGATGGATGTTTGTTAGAGTTTATAGCCTAAACTGCTGAACGTATCTCGATGATAGGCATAGATGACCAAAATCCAGAAGTTCACAAAGAATACTTGTTTTTTATATCCACACGGACGGATCCGCGGGCGAAACCTATTTTGTCATATGTAGAACATAATCTAGAAGAACACATAGGTTACTGATTACATTTCTTATAATTACTAAAACAAATGCAGTGATAACCTTTAAATGCATTTGATGCAATCCATCAGTCTTTTCTTCTTTACACGATAGACCATTTTTAAAAAAATCCCTTAATCTATATTTAATTTACAACCTGTTACAATTTATGGTATTTACAAAAAAATCGGTCTACTAGCGGTGGAGTTATGAATTGAGTACCTCCTTCTTTTGGGAAGTTGTTGAACAATCATGCATTTCAGTGTTAATTTAGAGTATACTAATGGGCTGGTACCTGTGTCTCCGCGAGGCAGACCTGCGCCAGGCGCTGCAGCACGCAGTCCGCGCGCAGCGGGCTGGCGGCCCCCAGCCGCACCAGCACTATGTTTGTGTGCACTGCCGACACCTCCACTGAGAACGTCGGCAGGAACAGGCCCTGGATCGCTGACATATATACTTATATTATAAATCCGAAAGTGGATGGATGTTGGATGTTTTACAGTGGTAGAGCCCGTTTCAACATCTTCGCATAAACGGTCCGGCTCGCCCGGTGTAATACCACGACCACACAGAAAACAGACGTGAAGTGGAAGCAATTCCACGTTTGATGAGTGTGGTGCCGGAGGCCTAATTTTAGTCCCTTTCCTTTCTACCCTTTCCTTAAGAGGAAAATGGGAAGAAAAATTGAATTTGACGGTGGAGGTGACGCATAGGAAGGGGAAATGGCCTCTTTATGTGCGTCTATATACAAAGTAATTTTTTTTAACTAATTTGATGAAAATATTGTATTGCATTGAATATTGATTATTGCATTTTATTACCTCTAACTGCACTATTTTGTAGTGTAATGAGGTGTGTTATGGCATTAGGTCACGTTGGACTCCCGCCCAGGGCGTTGCCCAAAAAGATATGCCACAAGTGTTAACCTGTTAACCCCCCCAGATATGATTAAAAAAACGAGTGCCGTGAAATCGCGTCTAGGGCACTAAGAGTCACTGGGTGTGTTACACTAAAAGAAGTTGTACTCCACTGAACTGTGTATTCCACTGACATGTGTATTCCACTGACATGTGTATTGCGCTATGTGTAATGTGTATTGTGTACATTAAACACTAACTGGCAGCGAGGACGCGCGCTCGCTTGTGCGAGTAGCGCAGCGCGGGCGCGACCTCGTCTAGAGCCACCACGGCCGCCGCCGCCAGCACGCCCGCCTGCCGCATGCCGCCGCCCAACATCTTACGCACGCGGCGAGCCCTTACACAAATAAAACAATCCTAGAGCTACATTAGACACTATAGTACACTAAACATCGTACGGACTCTTTTTTATCGCGATAAAATCATTCAAAAATAACAACGTTTCTATGTATCTGTTCCATTTTAAGCGCTGGGAAAACGAAACAAGAGTAATTTTAAAGCATTCGTCGAGAACAATATGGCGTTGAAAAAGCGCCCGTGCGAATTGTAACAAATAACAGTAGAACCATGGAAAGAGTTGTTAATCAATATTTACTAAATGTTTTTTGGTTCCTCATAGATTCTTTTTTAACATTTTTTTTTCATTAAGAAACAAGATGGCAAAAACATGTACTTGTCGTTCAATAAAATTGAATACATAAATCATCTTGAGAGATATTTATTGCTTGCGATGCAGCGAAATGATTAATAAAACCATGACCCTTGACTTGAAAACAAGCTTACAAGTTATATTCAAGGAAAACATCAAACAAAATTCTATCATAATTCTTAATAATATCTTACATCTTACTTAATAATGTAATCTTACTTAATAAAATTTTTACATAGATTTTTGTTGCCAAATAAATCTGAAATTTGCTAGTTATAGAACATAGTCTGAGAGAACATATCTATACTATTATAATAAAGCGTAAACGAACACTTCTCTGTTGCCTAAGATGTCAGCATACGGCATATCTTTGAATAATACTATTTTTAATAAAAAGCCCTACACTTACGTCACGCTTTAGGCTATAAATTTTCACGCCATTGAACTTAGGGCGTAAATATTTTGGATAAAAACCCTAATGTGGGAAAGAGACTATCAGTTGCTGCCAACATCAAGGATGCAAAATTGCTAAGGTTTGTTATGTCATGTCAGTTTGACATTTGCAATTGATAATTTGACAAATGTAAACAATAAAATAAAATTTTCATAATTTTATGCGGATGAAGCCACACGGGAACAGCTAGTCTATATATAAAGAGGAAAAATTTGTATTTATGTATGTATTAAATTAACTCAAAAACTACTGAGTCGATTTAAAAAAATCTTTCACTATTATAAACCTATGTTATCTGGTAACAGGCTATGTCTTTTACTATTTTTTAATTTCATGCGGACGAAGTCGCGAGCAACAGCTAGTAGGTTATAAAAAAAATTCTTCTATGGATATAAAAATATACATACTGTTCAATAAAATGATAGGAGCCAGCCAGTGCTGACCCAACAGGTGCACTAAGCCCTTTACTGAAGCAGATGGAGACAGAATGACAAGGTTGCACCAGATTCGCAGCGGGGCAATCTGAGTATGCAGCCGCATCTAACAATCTGGCACCATCCATATGCAGAGCTAAACCATTGCTTGCACAAAACTCTCCTAATTCATCAACCCAGGCTTGCGGTAACACTTTCCCTCCGCACACATTATGTGTGTTTTCTATCGCAACCATTGAACTAAGAGGTTCATGTAAATCACCGCCTCTTAAGCGATTTTCTAATTCCGATATATCGAAAGTTCCATCCGGGTTGTTCCGCAGTGTGCTGAGTAGTACCCCACCTAGATGAGAAGCACCACCTGAGACAAGATTTAATATTTAGTACAAATTTGTTGTCTTAAATATTTTTATTCATTACTAGTTGTTGCCCGCGACTTTGTTTGCATAGAATAATAAGAAAATACAAACATAGCTTATGTTACACACACATAAATTAACAGTGGAAGATTTTTTCTAATCGGTCCTGTAGTTTTTGAGTTATAACAATACATACAAAAATACAAATCCTTTCTCTTTATAATATTAGTATGGATTAAGGTAAATTAATAAAATACCTCACCTTGCTCATACTTGTAGATGTGTGATAAATGTCCAGCAAATGCCTCCGATCCTCTCTTATTGCAATGCACCATTACTGAAGAGAAAATAAATATTTTGTAATTATTGTAGATCCCAAATGAGCAAGCAGCCTAATTCTCTATAATAGAAAAGTTTCTGCCCATAGATATCTGCTTGCAGATATGTCAACTTTTAATAGGCAGAGGGAAGAGGGAAAGGGATGGAAAAGAGGATATTCTCTAACTGTAGGATTCACAGATAGAGAATATTCCCTTTTCCCTTCCTTTTCTTATAAGAAAAAACATAGGAAGGGCAAGAGGACTAATACTAGGCTTGTTTTCTTGTTAGTTTACCAGTAAAATAGTACTATTGATAAGATTCTTACATTACATTATGATAGACTTTTATAATAAATAGCATCAGGTATATAAACTCATTGTTATCATGGTATAAAGTCAGCTATACACAGATTTAACTTGCAGTTAAAGCTGAATGTGTATAGCAGGCTTTAGTTGATGTTATTATAATTTTAAGATGACTTTGCCATTGAAGTTTTATTTGATAAACTTACACCTTTGGTCAGAAATAAAAGCTGATAAGTTGTCTCTTATCTCCATGATAGAAATGTTTTATAATAAAAGTTAACAATTGCCTATTATCTTAAAAATATAACTAGCGATGACATCAGAGGAAAAACGGCATATGTTTAAAGTCTAAAGGACACCCTCATTGGCTTTCATTAAACAGAAATAGCATGAAAACTGTTATAATCACAAAATTTTGGCTTCACATTTTATGGTTATAAACATTTATATATTGGGAGACCACCTACCTACAGTAGACCATCATAATTTTAACAAACTTACCTTTTTCATTAGGATATAAGCAATTAGTTTTCAGTAATCGAATTGAGACAGTTACCAGGGTATCTGAGTTATTGATTTTACCTGCTATAAGATTGGCCATTGTACCAGATGGGACGAAGAGAGCTGCCTGCTTACCAAGCAGCGTCGCTACTTTACTCTCCAGAGCGTTCACTGTCGGATCCTCTCCGTAGACATCGTCGCCAAGAGCTGAATTGACCATTGCATGTTTCATAGCCTTTGTAGGCTTCGTCACCGTATCTGAACGTAGGTCAACTATGAAAGTTGTGTTGTTTACGTTAGACATTGTTGAACTGTACTTATAAAGTTCTTTTTCTCTAATTTAATTTTGTAATAAATATTTCTTGGTATGCAATTGCAACTTGGACGATGAAATCTTTTTATTTTTCTCTGTATAACAATAAAATATATGTCACAAGAAAGCAAAACGAAAAAATTTAAAATACATTCATAACTTAATACAATGTTAATTTTGTATTTTACAAGACAATTTAAACGGCAATAAACTAAAATTCTTTAGAAATATTATACGGCAAACTGTGACAGTGACAGTGACAGCGTGTGACCGGAGGTTTTCTCTTTGTTACCAGTACAAACAAAACATGAAATTGTCTGACGAGTTGAAATGTTAAAAATGCTATTTACAATTAAGAATATATTACACTAAAAGCAAATACTTACCACTAAATTGTTCACACAAAATTAGGAGTCCCATGTTTTTCAATTTCGCAAGAAATGAAACAAAATCAATTATTTCACAAGATTTACACCGTTGGCATAATGGCCATTCGTTTTGTCAAATTTTGAGTTCGTTCTCTGTTACAAAAAATTTGACAGATAAGGAATGAAAAAATTCTGCGATACCATTGGTGCAAATGATTCGAAAAAGTTTGAGTAAAACATTATATCCAATAAGAAATGTTTAAATTTAACGATCATCACAAGAATTTCGTAATTGAGATCGATCTTTGCTGTCTGTGACACAAAAAAAGGATTTTTGGTGCGTTTTGTGCGCTCGTTTTGCCCTTTATTACATGAAACGGTGATTCTAACCCATAACCTAGTAATTTAATGTGTTTTGTGTACGTTCTAAGTTAACATAATTGATCCTCAAAGCATTCCGTCCAGGAAAACATCGAAAGTTTTGTAATATATTTGGTTAAAGACAACCTGAATTCGGGCGTCGACCGGTTCATCCCTCCTACCCGTAATAACCGTTGCGATTCTGTCAGTCGTGTCAGTCGCAATCGTAATTTTGTAGGTGTCGTACCGCGTTTACGGCACAAGACGATCGTAGGGGTGTCTTAGAAAGCGAGTGTTGTGTGCAGTGTCGGTAGGGGCGTACGTTTAATGTGGTATTCAGAGCCGGTTTTAGGTTATCGCAAGTCGTGTCGCGCGGCGTGATCAGGCGCGATGGTGGACATGGATAGAAACGACCCGGAGCTCCGGTACCTGTCGGTGGACCGGAACAGCTTCAATGATCCGGCCACGCAGGCGGAGTGGACCCAGAAACGCTTGGTGTGGGTGCCACACGACACACAGGGCTTCGTCGCGGCAGGAATAAAGGGAGAGCGAGGAGATGAGGTCGAAGTGGAAATCGCGGAGTCGGGGAAGAGGATGCTGGTGCCCATAGATGACATCCAGAAAATGAACCCACCGAAGTTCGACAAGGTGGAAGACATGGCGGAGCTGACCTGCCTCAACGAGGCTTCTGTCCTGCACAACATCAAGGACAGATACTATTCTGGCCTCATTTATGTAAGTACTCTGAACATTATCTAGTTTTCAGTATAGTAGTCATCAGATCTTTGATTTATGTTACCCTGGTACATCAGGATAACCCAAAGTATATCAGTTATTTTAAATTCAATCACTGCAACTTTTTAATATATACATGATGTGCAAAATATTTTGAATAATATTATTGATATTTTTCACTAAAGATATTGTTTCATTTTAGTAATAAATTGCTCAACCCCCTAATGATTGTTAGTCATTGATACCTCATAAGTGATAATTACCTAAGTTGAAGTACTTGAATATCATTAAAGTAGAAATAAGAACTACTTAATGATAATGTAGGCATATACTGCTCCAGATATTTAACATTCCAACAAAGTTACTGCACTTTGTGGAAGGCTACAAGCATACAAATATCTTTTTTAAATCACCTTTTATAAGATACTACTTCAAACTAAAATTATAAATGCGAAAGTTTAGATGGATGGATGTTTGTTAGAGTTTGTTGTCTAAATGGCTGAACGGTTTTCCATTTGGTATATCTATACATCTGTTGGGGATGGTCTGGAAGAACACATAGGCTAATGGTTTTTCTTTTTTTTTAAATTCCATGCAAATGGACTCACGGGAGAAAGCTAGTATTCATGAACTGTATAATACTTGATATTTCTTATCTAATGTTACAAAGATAAAAGATTTTTATTGTATAAATTGAAATAACTCAAAAACTACTGTATCAATTCTAAAAATTGTCTTGCCATTAAAAACCTATATACTGAATATCATAGGCCGTTTTTTTCTATTTTTTTTTTATTCCAAGCAGACAAAGTTGTAAGCAACAGCTAGTTTAACCTACAAACTATTTAATGTCTCAATACTGACATCTCTTGCATATTTGTAATATGCATAATTGATGTTTATATACTTGTTGGTTTTATGTACCCCTAATAATGTAAATGGTGACAAACACTGTATGATGATTCACAGTTTTTATCTAACATTCCCTATCATTTTGTCTGATGTATGCAGTCATAAAGTTAATATTGATAAAAAGTTAAAAAAAGACATTGTTATATATATTTGTGGATATATGTGCTACTTATGACTTTTGTACTGTCACTAGCGCCTGGATTTTTGACAAATCATGGCTATTGAAATATTCACAGCAATCTTAACCAATCTATATTAATATAGAGTAAAAAAATACACTTATCTTTACTCTCTATATTAGTATAGTGTAAAGATTAGTGTATTTTTTTATGTATTTAACTAAAAACTAGACTATCAAATTAAAAAAAACTATGTTATCAGTGTTATGTTAAATACATTTTTTTTAATTTCACTTAGATGAAGTTGGGAGATATAGCTAGTAAATAAAAAAATACTAATACTGTATGGGTGGTTACATATTTATGGTAAACAAATCTTACTTATAATACTATAAATGCGAAAGTTTAGATGGATGGATGTTTGTTAGAGTTTGTAGCCTAAACTGCTAAATGGATTTTATAAATATTAGCATTGATGTAGAGGATAGTCTGGAAGAACACATAGGCTACTTACTTTTGTTTTTTTTCCACATAGAAGGAGTTGTGTGCGAAAGCTTGTGTTTAGTAACAGTAATATATTTTATATCAAGCTAATACTTTTTAGACTCCTTAATTATATTTATTAGGATAATACTGAAATTGTTCATACAATATCATCAAAAAGTTAATATGCAAAGAAAAATGTAAAACACTAGATTTTCCGTAAATGTTGTAAAAGTGCTTTGAAAACCATAAATATTTTAATTTGACGTCATAGATTAATATAACTATGATGTCAAATTAATTATCAAAAAACAATTTTGTCTACAGTATTTCCTTTAATTGTTATTTACTTGTTATTTTGTTGCAACCTAATTAGTTCTGAAAATATCATGAAGGCATACTCGTACAATGAATTTACAGAGATGATGTCATTCTTTATAGGAGTATGTAACCTTGTTGAACAGGAGAATTTTATTTGCAGTTATTAATACTTGTTACTCAAGATTTATTAATAGTTCAGAATCATTTTAAAAATTAACTATGCAATTCATTAAATTGTCGATCAATGAATCTATTGTGTTAAAAAGTTTTGAAAGTGGTTTTATCAATACTAATATTATAAAGATGAAATATTTGCGTTTTCGGATTTTAGTATATGTTGGAATAACTCAAAAACTACTGAACCGATTTCAAAAATTCTTGCACCATAAAGCTATGTTATCACTGAGTAACATAGGCTTTGTTTTTACTATTTTTTTATTTCATATGGGCAAAGTCACAAGCAACAGCTAGTAGATTAATAACATGGTACTAATGTTTTTGGAAATATGCCATTTCACTTTTGTAAGATACTATATGATAACATGCAACACATGTATACTGGGTACACTTTAGTTAAGGGGTATAATAGCAAATATGCTTTACCCCAATTGTAGTTAAGAACAATTTGGTATGTCTATTTATAAACAAAAAAATCAATTATAGAGTACTTTTATAGTGCTCAATGTGGAATTTTTAATTCAGCGACTGGGTAGTTTATTTTAAATGTTATGTCTAGGTACCCCATACCCGCTGGAGGCACGTTTCTCGTATGTTTTCCTCATGGGTCACGACCACGTAAACCATAACCGCCACTCTGACTCACGTACAACAATGGCGGTTACGATTCGGACGTATGTTTGTACGTTTTTGATGTTGCTCTATACGTCTCGAATTAGCATTGACGTAATCTTTCGGTTCATTAAAGCATAAGTTTAGCACATGTTTTAGGGATATTTTATGACCCTTTATTCTATGAATACTTACTCAAAATGTTTTTATCTTCAGATTGATTTTGTATTTATGATTTTAGTAAGTTACTAGTTGATCCCATGTGACTTCATCCGCATAAAATTTAATTTTTTTGTTCACATTTGTCAAATTATCAATTGCAAATATCAAAATGACATGATGTGATGTCAAACCATGGCAACCTTGTTTCCTTGATGTTGGCAACAACTTATGGTCTCTTTCCCATATCCAATCCAAAATATTTACCCCTAAGTTTAACGGCGTGAAAATATATAGCCTAAAGCGTGACGTAAGTGTAAGGCTTTTTATTATAAAAAGAGGTATTTGAAAATATTCTGTAATTGCTGACATCTTAGGCAACAAAGAAGTGTGTGATTACGCTTTATTATAATAGTATAGATTATGTAGGAAGTATCTCAGTACCAGTAAAATAATCATATATCAGTATTAAAAATGACTAATATTTATTAATAATTTATTTGTTTTTAATGATAGAAGAACATAGTCATAATAAAGCTGTGACAACCTATTTTCTACTTTGAGTCATATTTTTTCCACATCTGTAAACACCACTTATTTGTTCTGTTATGCCATTTTATGGAAATTCTTTCATTCAGTATCTTGATCTGTTTGAAACTGGAACTGATTGTAGTGTCTTTCTACCTTTAAAACTGACCTTATATATTTACATATGAGACTTAAGTGAGATTGTAATTAAAGTAACTTAAGTGTATGGTTTATAGAAAAAGATCTAAATGTTTAGTATACCTGAAAACCAACATAAAAAGTTACTGGATTTTTTCAAGGAAGTGAGTATTTACATCCCAAATTCATCTTTATGATTATAAGGTTAAGGGTGTTATTTGTCTTTCTATCTTGTAATTGATTTTTTATGCACGAAAACAAGCTTAGTTAATTTGTTGTCAGTTGTAAAGAAGTAATATACTGATAGGATTGTTCACGTGATCTTACATCGACATGTATAAATGTTTTTGTTCACGGTGTTTATAGTAAACAATACGTTAGGGCGGGCCGGCAACGGCGCGGTTTACGAGTGCCTCGACATTGCCGGCGAAGCGGCAACGTTGCGATCGCCCAAAATCACGATCCTATATGAGAGACAGAGAGGAGCAACATATGAATCAAAATATATGCGTTGTTAAGTTTTTGTTTCTTGTCTCACCTGGAATTTTAAAATCCAAAGCTTATCAATGTTTATCACTACCATATTTGCCCTATCAGAATGGTAACCACTTTATACGATTGTGAATACCTACGTGTAATTTAGACAACGAATTCTTTATTGTGGCTTCTGATGGCACTCCTCCAAGACACATAACGCCCCCTACCCAAATCATATGTTTTTGATCTGCGAATAGAATTATATGCTAAATGTTTATATTTACTTTGTGTCAGCATGGTCACTAGCAAAAAATATCATTTGAATGAATGTTATTTGTGTGTTGTTTTTTTATTAAATGGCTATTCGTCCAGCCTTGACACTGATCTTTAGTCCAATTTAGCTCCTCTATAAACAGTATTTCCCATTAAATGAAACTTTTTTTTGTTTATTGGTGATAGCTGTTATTCACGCAAAAACTTCCCAGTTGTTTTTGCATGATTCAAATAGATACAAAAATTCAAAAAAAACAATTCTGGAATTTATTAGTATAGGAGTATAGATTCCAATTAGTTTAGACATCATCTTGCCTTTTAGTAATCCATTCGTGGTTACTATGTAGCATTGCTAAAGCTTTTGTCACTTGCCTACAAAATATTAATCAAAAAACAAAAATTGTAAATTTATTCTTAACTATTTCCATTTATTAATTAGAATAAAGCCATTGACATTGTGGCGACGAAATTATCTTGTACGGTCGTGTGTAATAACGGTATACCGAATACATTGCGCGCTTCGCAGATTAGTAAGAAGCTAATCAACACAGAAGATACAAATGAGTTTTTTTTTTTAACACAGATGAGTATTATTTTACAATAGGCTATTTTTGCGGACATGTGCACAATATATAGGTCATTTGCATATAGGCTTTAAGTTGTATATTAATTTTTACTACTAAATTGGCTTGCTTTATCAATCTCAATATAGGAAACAATTTTTTTGCGCTAGGTTTTGATGAATAAATACTTAGCGACCTTGCGAATACCAAGAATCTAGGGGAGGGCAATTTTGTAGCG